TTTACCACTGAGCTATATCCCCAGTCCTCTTACTTTTTAATTTTTTTTAATATTTATTTTTTAGTTATAGGTGGACACAATATCTTGATTTTATTTTTATGTGGTGCTGAGGATCGAACCCGGTGCCTCACACATGGTATGTGAGCGCTCTACCTCTGAGCCCCAGCCCCAGCACCTCTTTCTTTTTTAAGAGCAGCTGAGTTACTGAGGCTGGTCTCCACCTTGAGATCTTCCTGCTTCAGGAGGGATTATAGGCATTCACCACTGTGCCCAGAGTAATTAACTTCCTTAAAATTTTAAGATTTAGGAATATGTGGACCAATTATAGAAAAACATTGTAGGATTCATAAGAAGAGAAGTCTGAAATAGTCAGATTTCATGGGGGGAAAGTGGCATCCAATTTCCTAGTTTTGATTCCTTTAAGGTCTGCTAAGATAAGTGGTATATAATTGAAAAATCTTCGTGTGACAGACAAAGAGGTGAATAGATGTAGGTAGGAAGACTTGTCAGTTTGCCCTAATTTCATGAAAGATCCCCTGTTGGTGAATATTTGGATGGACCCTGTTTATAATATAAACAATATTAGTGTGAATATTCTGGTGCCTTTTACACTGTGGCTACAGAACAGGTTCCCAGAAGCAGAATCCAGATGCACAGTTGTTCCTTTGAATATTAGGCGCCATTAGGCATTTGTGCAGATCTTACCTGAGGCTGTAGAATGGTACCAAGGAGTTGTAGTTGTTATCCCAGACTACAACTCCTTGGTACCATTTTTTTTTTAATCACTCTTTTAATAGACTAAGGCCCTTAAATGAGGATGAGCCACCCCTATTGGATATTTTTCCCCATGAGAGAAATTTTTGCAAAGAAAAGTCACCAGTCTCCCATTTTTTTTCCTTCCTTCTTTCCTTCCTTCCTTTTTTTTTGCACTGGAGATTGAGCCCAGGGACATGGCAGCTACTAGCTGGCTCCCATTTTCTGTGGGTGTTGGTCTCTGTCCCTTAAACCATGCAGTTGAGCTTTTGCAAGAAACATCTCAAGAGTTGTATTTGCATATCAAACCCTTAGTGAGTATGACTATTTTTAACCAAGTTTCTTCATATTAAACACGCCTTTTATTTACAGTTAAAAATGGTACTGGGGGGGAAACATTACCAACAGTATCATCCACAGCACTTTTAAGTCCATTAAATGCAACTTAGAACTTTTATTGGGGACACAGTTCTCAGTGAGGAGCCTGGTCCATTTCCTCTCGCCTGCAGTGACTCACGCTGCCCCCCTGGCCCTTCCTGCCAGCAATTCAGGGCAAATGTGCAGTTCAGTTACACCAGATCTGTTACCCACAGTGTAACCACGTTTGCATTCTCCTCTTTTCATTGGCTCTGGTTTTCTGTTTTCATTTTATTAACCTTGTTATTGATTCCTTTGTGGTAAAGCATTTCATATCCTTCTGAGCAGGAGGCAGGCTATGAAAATAATGCCTGTATTTAGCATTGTTAATGAAACATGAGTTTCAAAACAGTCATCATATGACAAAATGTAAAAGCACAGTTTGTGGAAATTAGCCTGCATATTAGATTTTATTTAATTTTTAAATTTTTGTTCTGGGGATCACACCTGGGGTGCTTTACCACTGAGCTACATCCCCAACCCTTTCTTAAAAACTTTGAAACAGGGTCTCGTTAAGTTGCTAAGGATCTTGGTGAGTTGCTGAGGCTGACCTCAAACTTGTGATCCTTCTTTCTTAGCCTCAAAAGTCACTGAGACTACAAGGGTACACCCCCACACCCAGCTGTATTAGGTTTTAGACCAAAGTAGTTTGAGTGAGGCCCAGTTCCAGCGCTTACCAGCTGTATCTCTGGGCCAGTCATTTAACCTTTCTGAGGCTCAGTTTACTATCCTGTAAAGTGAGCACAGTAATACCTTGGGCACAGGGTTTTCTCAAGGATTAAAAGAGATGCTCAGCCCATTCTGAATGTTTAATTAGAAAATACTAAGGTGCAAATCATTGTAAAGTGTAGTTCATATCTCTTGGAAATGTGTAGTACCACTTTCAAGTTTTTGTCAAGAGCAGACTGTATTTTCTGGTCCCTTTGCCCAGTATAAGGAATTGCAAGACCTGGTCAGAATTTGGCATGCTGATTGCCATGTCATAGGAGGTGCTCTTGGAGGTGTCTTTCTGAACTGCAAGGCGCCAGACACAGCTCGGTACCAGCAGGAGTGAGCAGAGGCTGGCTCCGAGCCATGAGACCATGCTAACTCTCCATATGGAGTGGCGTTTTCAGTTTTGAAAATCTACAAGATGTAATTTGGTTCTCAATTATCCATGGTGAGAGGGAAATACGTAAAATAAGCATAAGCAAATGACAATCTCTTGATATGGTGCCCTGGGTTGACACCCGCCCACATCCACTTGCTTTTTGCCTTCACCCTGCCTCTTCTCAAGGTCACCGCCCTCAGACAACTGGCCATCTTGTCTTTTTCTGGATTTCTTTGGCCTCTGGGGATAGATTCCCCCCTGCTAGCCTGTGCTCACCTTCTTGCAGAATTCTCTCTCAGAAGCAGAGTTCTCCACACGTCATTCCTGCTCAGAGAATTCTCTGTGGCTTCCTGCTAAAATGAAGCCCACACTGTATGGCAGGCCACATAAAGAATGCCTGGTAACAAACTTCTCTGATGACGTCTCCTGACTTCATGTACGCACACCAAAATTCTAAGCATTTTCTAAATTTTTTTAAAATGGTTTTTGTATAGTTGTTCGTAATATCCACTTATTTTCTCCCATCCAATTTTTAACTTTGAAAATTTCAGATCTATAGCAAAAGATGAAAAAATATGCCCTTTCCCTAGGTTGAGCAGTTTTCAAATATTTGGACACATCTGCCCCTTTTCATTGTGGCTGAAGTGTTGAAAGTCACAGAGACCTTAACCCTTACTCCTGCTCATCTCCGCCTACATCTCCAAAGATGTGGACATTCTCCTTTGTATCCACAGTACCATTATCACATTTGTAAAGTCTAACAACAATCCCCTAGTGTCATGCTGAAATCAACTGACTGGCACACATTAGGCAAGCGCTGTCTCACTGAGCTACACACCCAGTCCTCTAGTCTCTTTTAATATGGAATAGTCCTGCCCCCTTTCCTTTCTAGTAGAAGTGTCCCGGGTGGCTAGTTGTCTTGAGAATACAGCAGATTCTGGATTTTTCTGATCATCGTATTCCTCTCTCCCCTGTATTTCCTGCAAACTGTAAGTTAGTTCTAGAGATCTCTGCTTCACTTGCTGCATCTCCATCTCAGAAACTTTAGCCTATGAGGTGAAAAAAATGTGCTGTTTTGAATTGAAGAAGTACTTGCTTCCCCTTTATTTTGGGAACTACAGCTCGCTAGTTTCAGAAAGAGGTGTGGCTGTCCTTCAGAGGGTTGTCCCCCAGCTAATGAAATGATAAACAAGTCCAAGTTCCCAGACCAGCGGGAATCCTGCAGGACAATGTGAGAGCTAGGCCCCTGGCAGCCAAGGGGAGTGGGGCCGAGTTCTGAGAGGAGCTCTGGAGGTTTCTTAGCACAATTCCTTCCCCGTGAGGTACTGTCTGACTCACACGGCCTTTCCCCCAAACTCAGTCATCTTGCTCTCCTCTGAAGTTCTAGCACCTGGCCTCAAACTTTGGCAGCATTCCAGAATTACACAGAGAGAACCGTGGCCCCACTGGACCCCAGAATAGTTTTCTAGAATGTGTCCAGTGAATCTATTCTGTGGGAATCACTGCTCTGTAGGACCTTCTAATGGAGATGATTTTGCTTTTAAAGTGTAGTTTCAAAGGTATGCTCTAAGGCAAGAGTCACCTGGTTCAAATGTTCCAAATCTTCTCAGTATCCAGAGTGCTCTGTGGAGTACTCTGCCCATCCTAGAATTAAGTAAATGAAGCAATGAACAGCTTTTTATGTCAGAAGCATGGCAATGTCATTCTGCATGGGTCAACAAAAGCCCTCCACTCACTGGGATGGCTTTTCCTCCAGAGTCCCGTCTCAATCCTGGCTTTCAGTGCCATAACTATGTCATTTGTCAGCTGGTTTCTAGGCTCAGATATCTTTTTTTTTTAAATTGGTGTATTATCATTATATGTAACAGTGGAATTCATTATGCCATATTCAGACATGCACACAACATAATTTAGACTTGATCATCCAGATGTTCGTACAAGCATCTTTTCTACCATACCTGTCTCTTTTATTTTCAGCCTTGGGGAAGGCCACCACCATCTTCCTGGGTCCCAAGCCACATTCAGCTGGAGCCAGGCTCTATATACTCTAACTCTTACTCACACCTGCCTTGAAATCTCAAGCCCTCTCATCTTCACCTTGCATGCTACAATATAGATGGCATATGCCACTTGTCTTCAGGATAAAAAAGCCAAGTCATCAGCACTGTACCAGCATGTGCCTCCTCTCCAGCCCTGGCCTTCCTGCTCAGTCCTGGACTAAAGGTGTAATTTTGTTGAACCAGTTTGAAGGGGTCACGCTATGTTGAGGCCACCGTAGTTGCATGTGAAGTTTGTTCTTCCTGGAAACCCTCTGCTGACCTTTCAACTGGCCAACATCCCTCCCAACACAGATCATTTCCTTCGGGAAGCTTCCCAGACCGGGTGCTTTTCCTCTTATCTGAATTACGTGTCCTCTCTTAGGTCTTGTGCATCCTCTGTCATTGACCCACCCCATTGTGCCATAATTCGAATTTACACATTTTTGCCACGAGACTATGAGCCTATTTAGAGGAGGAATTATGTCTGGCTGATAAAACATTGATGTTCAATAAATATTTTTGAATGAACGAATAAATGAATGAGCAAGCAAACCCATTTGCGAACAGTGTCCACATTTGAGTATATTAATCTAAGTATGATGAAGAAGAAAAGTACTTCCTTTTATTCTGCTTTAGCGAAGAGATTTTGGAAGCCAGTTCTGGAATGGTAAAATAATGTCCTTACTTTTCTATTCTGACAGGAAATATGGGATGTATAAAATCAAAAAGGAAAGACAATCTGAATGACGATGGAATAGATTTGAAGACTCAACCAGTACGTAATACTGACCGAACTATTTATGTGAGAGATCCAACGTCCAATAAACAGCAAAGGCCAGTAAGTAGATAGTCTCAGGGAGAATTCCCACAGCAGGATCCAAGCATGGCTGCATAATTTTAACCCCAATCTGTGATATGTGCATGCGAAAAAAATCACATTGATTTCTTGGGCCTCAGATAATTTTTGATGTGCTTTGTGACTTAATCCTTTGAAGAATGTGTAAACCTTTAGAGATGACCAGGCCACTTAATGGGCAATAAACAGGCCTTTAACCACATTTTTATATGTAGAGGAAAAACAACTTTTATATCATTGGTGAAGAGACCCCAATACATATATAGGCTGTATGACTGAGGATAGGTAACAAGATCAGCAGAGTGGCGTGGAAGCACAAGAAAATTCTGGATTCAAGTCAGAAGCTAAAGTAGGTGCTCATGTCTTTTGGTGTATCACATTTTATCCAACTGATTCAGAAGAGTATAGATATTAAAAGAATCATGATTTGTTATAATGAATTAAAGGATTAAGAGAAGCTCATCTAATTCTGCCTCATCATTGACACTGATAAGTCAGAGTTAGTTAAAAAGCAGTGAAGGGCTGGGGTTGTGGCTCAGTGGTAAGAGTGCTCACCTGGCATGCGTGAGGCACTGGGTTCAATCCTCAGCACCACATTAAAAATAAAATAAAGATATTGTGTGCACCTAAAACTAAAAAAGAAATATTTTTTTAAAAAGTAGTGGAAATGAAGAATGACTATATAATACTATTAAGTTATCGTATGTTTTCTGGATAGATAAATTAACATGTATTATGTAAAATTACATTTAGAAAATAAATTTACTCAAATGGTATAAGATTATTAGTAGCTTTAATAATTTAGTGATATATAAACATACATATAAAATTTAAGAACATACTACATAAGTGTGTAGTGATATAGGACTATATATTACATAAATGTGATTAACAGAAAATAAAATGAGGAATTGGAGTTACAAATAGTTTTCTTGTAGACTCCACAACTCTCATAAAAAGGATCTGTTTGTTTCTGGCACTAACTGCTGCAGAATTTATATGCTTTAAAACTCACAATTTTTTGGTCTGTTTTATTTTTAAATGATGAATGACTATGTCTTTTATTCAGAAAAGCAGGGTAGACTCATACAAAATTACATGCCCATTTTCTCCTCTTGTTCAGAGTCAGGGAAATTAAAATCAAGTTAGAAAGCAGAAGTAGTAAACATGTTTGAAATCTTTCAATTCCCTCATGTATACCATAAGTATTTTAGTCCTTGCCTTCTGTGGTCACAGATGCCCTCACTTCATGAGCCAGTTCTTTTGGCCTCATTCCATGGCCATAAATAACACTCTCAGCCTTGCCAGGTGTGCCAAAATGCTCGCCATGAATTGATTGCAAGGGGAGTTTGATGAGGGGGTGAGATGGAATTGATGTGATTCTCCAGTACTCTAAGAATAGCTATTTTAAGGAAAGATCTAGGGCAATGGTGTAAGAGTTGCATATATGTGTTTTAGTCTTAGAAAAAGTGTATTCGAAAGGGCTGGTGGCATATGCCTGTGGTCTCAACTACTCAGAATGTAGAGGGAATCACTTGAACCCTTGAGTTCAAGACCAGTCTGCAGGACAACATAACAAGACCCCATTTAAAAAAGTATATTAAAATGTTTGTACATTAACACGTCTGATATTTTCCAATCAGCTTGCTACTTTCGGAACTACTTAGTTTCTTACCTAATTATTTCCTCTAAATCATATGAACTAGATCCTGTTTGCTAATTATGCAAATCAAAATGACTGACAAATCAGTGTAAAATTTCTTGAAATTCTTGAAGAATAGCGTGGACCCACAGATTTTCCGATACCTTGATGAATCATGTTCCCTCCTTAATGAATTAGAGATGTTATGGGCTGACTTTCATCAGAAATTTAAATTTTAGTACAAATCATTTTGGTCCCATTCCATGAAATCACTTTAATCAAAGAGAAATGGAAACGTCACATGGTTTGCAGTGTAGTCCCTTATTATATACCATCCTTAGAAGAGGTCATGAGACCTTGCTTAGCCTCATCATGCATTGTGAGAAAAAAACTTTTGTAATTGAGATGGCCTTTTATACTACTAGTCCTTAATAATACACCTCCCAGGTACAAAGGCAGGGGATGCCATCTGTCCTCATGATGGAGTTGAGGTCATCCCAAGAAAGTCTGGATCAGTTAGGACATGTTCTAAGTTGCTAGTGACAGCCCTGACTGTGTTTAAACAAATCTGGGAAGCATAGAAATGGGATGATGTGACAATTCTGCAAAGTCACCAGGACCTCAGCCACTTTCTTCTCTCCCTCAACTGTCACTGGCATTTGGTTTCTGTGGCTACTGGGACTCCAGCCTTCAATTGCTTCTATGCAGAAAGAAGGAGGCAAGAGAAAAGGTGAGGCTTTGCCAAAGCCCTACACAACCATTGAGCATACAGAAATGCTACCTCCCAGTTCTGTGTAAGGGGCTGGAGGGTTGGAGCTAGGCGAAAATTATGAGGGTTGTGTTATCAGATAAAGGCAGAATTACAATGAGGTGAGCATATAGCAGCTCACTGACCCAAGCTCTGATCACTTCCAGCTAGCCTGGGCGAATGACAGCTTTTAGAAAGAAGATGGGTTTCACTGAGCCATGTAGGCAGTGGTATTGCTCTCCAGAATTTCCTCTCTGTACTGCTCTTCTTTCCAGCTTAATAAACCAGCAAATCCAAACCACATTTGCTACTGTTAGAAAAATGATATACCCCACTAACATGAGCAGAAAAGGCTAAGCATAATTTTTTTCCTAACAAATATTCTCTCATAGGTTCCAGAATCTCAGCTTTTACCAGGACAGAGGTTTCAAACGAAAGGTATGTTTTCTTATTAACATAGTTACTGTTTTTTTTTTCTTTATGTTAGAGTCTTTATAAAGGAGTTGCCCTAGAAGTTTGTATTTATTTTTCAATGTGGAAAATAAATACACATTACATCTTAACAATTTTAACCATTTGTAGAGTTAAATGGTGGTCGGCACATTCACAATTTTGTACAGCCACCACTCCCATCCATCTGAGAGCCTTTTGGAGGACTTTTTCCTCTTCTCAAACTGAAACTCTGTACCCGTTAAACACTAATTTTTCATTTTCCACTCATGGCTGCTCCTGGCAACCACCATTGTATTTCCTATCTCTATGAATTCAATTATTTTAAGTACCCCCATATGAGTGGAAATATAGTATTTGCCCTTTTGTGCCTGGTTTATTTAACTTAGCATCATGTCCTCTATTCATCTATATTATAGCCTGTGTCAGAACCTCATTTCTTTTTAAAGCCAAATGATATGCCCTTGCATTTATGTGCCACCTTTTATCTTTTTCGGGGGGAGGGGGTACCAGGGATTGAACTGAGGGGCACTCAGCCACTGAGCCACATCCCTAGCCCAATTTTGTATTTTATTTAGAGACAGAGTCTCACTGAGTTGCTTAGTGCCTCGCTGTTGCTGAGGCTGACCTTGAACTTGAGACCTTCCTGTCTCAGCCTCCCTAGCTGCTGGGATTATCTGCGCGCCACAGCGCCTGGCTACCCTGTATCTTTTCATCTATCAGTGGACATTTAGGTTGCTTTCACTTTTTAGTATTGTGAATAATGCTCTTAGGAACATGGGTGTTCATAACTGGAAAGCAGGACACGTGGTTGGAGGTCAGTATGCCTTGCAGTAACGCATACTGTACCCAGTATGTACACCACGTTGTTTTGCAGACCTGGAGTTCTGCTAGGTAGGAAGTTCACATGCTCATCCAGTTACCCCTCTTCAGCACTTCTTCTCCTTCTTTGTGCCCCATGGGGATTAAAAAAATTTTTTTTTTCTGCTGATGAATTCTTAAAAGTCTTCACTTGTGTCCTTCATTTTCAGATCCAGAGGAGCAAGGCGACATTGTGGTGGCCTTGTACCCCTATGATGGCATACACCCTGATGACCTGTCTTTCAAGAAAGGAGAGAAGATGAAAGTCCTGGAGGAGTAAGTGTTCCCAGGTCATAAGCTCTCGCAGACTGCCCCCTGGTTTTCTTTCAGGACCAGAGTGACACCCAAACCCACTTCTTGCAGTGGGCACGAGGTCCCTCAGCCCTTCTGCTGCCAGTAGCCCTCAGCATGGGAAAGAATAGGTTCAAAGTATTTCCCTTTGAAGTCCAGCTGTGAGCACGCTCTGGAAGTTTCCCTTTGAGAATAGATCCTGGTGTAATTCTTCACCCGGCTGTGCCACCTTAAGAAATTTGAGTCTGTGTAACACCTGCATGGTCTTTAAGTGGTCATTTTTATTTGGTTGTATTGCCAGATTCAGATTGGGTTTATGGGCCAGTTGATTTGGTTTTCGAGGTCATGGTACTACAGAGCCCTAGTGTTGGACTAGCTGTGCTCATTAGCAACAGCATTTCTATAAAGATGCTTGGACAGTTCATTTCCTTGACTCCTGCGTTGCTGACTCAGACATGTGGCCCTTGTCAGACCACAGGGGCACCGGACAGTGAGGAGAATAAGGAACTCTGAACATTTTATGCTAGCTTGCTTCTCCTATTGATTTTGCATGAAGTGTCTCCCAAATTTGCCAGATAAGACTCAAGGAGGGGGAGATTCCCTTATTAGATGATTGAGAGCAGGTTTACTATTGGGTTGAACATGAAGTTGAGCCTCAATTTGGCCCTTCCTCTTGATAGCTCTGTGACCCAGAAAAGGCACTCAAAGTCTATACTTGGTCATCTTTGCTTATGGTAAGCATGGCATGTGTATGTCTATGTATACAGTCCCTGGGTATCCATGGGGTACTGGTTCCTGGACCCTACTTTGATATCAAAGTCTGTGGATGCTCAAATCCCTTATATTAAATAGCTCAGAATTTGCATATAACCTCCACAATCTCCTGTTATACTTTAAATCATCTCTAGATTACATATACTACCTAATACCATGAAGAATACTATGTAAATAGTTCTTAGACTACATTGTTGAGGAAATGATGATAAAAAGAAAGGTCTGTACATGTTCAGTACAGGTGCAAATTTTTTTAATATTTTGGATTTTTGGTTGGTTGAATCTAAGGATGTAGAACCTGTGGATATGGAGGGTCAGCTATATGTGTAAATACAGGATAGGAGTGCAGTAGGCATAGTGGTAGTTGTAGTTGTCCCTCATGCATCCCAGATAAGGATCCTCCAGGGGCATTTGAAGATGAGCAGAGTTGGGACTTGCAGAGCGACCCATTCTGTTCCTCCCTCCTTCATGGGGCCACCTGCTCCTGCCATTGCTGGTTAGGGCTGTAGCACGGTGATGAGACTTGTTTTATGGGCTTTTTTTTTTTTTTTCTCTCTCTCTCTTTTCTTCTTGGCATCTGTCTCCATGGAAACTACATGTCTTAGCAAAGAAGTTTATAACACTTGAACTATGACCCATTATTCTCTTGTCTCCCTTTTCTGTGAGGATTCTGAACATTTCATAGCTATCCTAGGGGAAATGACAAAATATTTTGCTTCTGCAAGATGGGAATCATTTTTACCAACTATTTTTTTTGCAGCATCTAGCACAGAAATCCACATTTAGGTTATAAGGCCATTTTCCTTTGCTTTCATCCCTAAACATATTTTTGTACCATAAAGGGGAATGAATTTTCCCATTGGATTCTGAGATTCCAGAGATGCTCCCTCCTCTTCCCTCATCCCACAAAATAAACACCGTGAGATGATGGCTGTTTTAGTTCTTGAATCTTACACATAAACCATTTCTGATGTGTGTTCTTATTCCAGGCATGGAGAATGGTGGAAAGCTAAGTCCCTTTCAACAAAGAGAGAGGGCTTCATCCCCAGCAACTACGTGGCCAAAGTCAACACCTTAGAAACAGAAGAGTAAGTTCTTATGTCGTCACCCCCAGTGGTGGTGTTAGCTGCACGGGGTTGCTTGTTCTTTTATTCTCCTTTTCCTTCCCTGGAACATAACAACTATGAAAGTGAAAATGTCTCCACAGGTGGTTTTTCAAGGATATAACCAGGAAAGATGCAGAACGACAGCTTTTGGCACCCGGGAACAGTGCAGGAGCTTTTCTTATCAGAGAAAGTGAAACATTAAAAGGTGGGAAGTGACTTAAGACCTCTTTTAAAACACTACTTAAGAAATCATTTTTAGGGGCTGGGGATGTGGCTCAAGCAGTAGCGCGCTCGCCTGGCATGGGTGGGGTGCTGGGTTCGATCCTCAGCACCACATGAAAATAAAATAAAGATGTTGTGTCCACCGAAAACTAAAAAATAAATATTAAAAAAATTCTCTCTCTAAAAAAAAAAAAAAGAAATCATTTTTAGAAACTGTTAGAACTACTAAAAAAAAAAGTATATACTAAATTCTGGTGGTGAAATGTTGATAGTTTGAAAACAACAAACTCAAATGATTCATTTTAGTAGTAAAAATAACAAAAGCAGCCACAGTTGTGGCCGGGGCTGACCACACTTCTTGCTTGCTGATTTGTCTTATGGTTCTTATTTATAGTAAATCCTGACGTTTTAAGAAAAAGAAAAATCAAAGTAATTTTTCTGTTCAGCTAAAATTTTTTTCCCAGTAATTACCTAGGGGTAATTTACCACTGAGTTACATTCCTAGCCATTTATATTTTGTATTCGAGACATTTTATATTTTGCTAAATTGCCTGGGTTGACCTTGAACTTGGGATCCCCCATCTCAGCCTCTCAAGTCTATGGGATGCATCACCCCACCCAGCTCAGGAAAATAATTTTTTAAAACTGTCACAGAAAAGGAAAACGGCATGTTGGCAACTTGCACAGCAAACATAGTACTAGCTTCATTTGTCAAGTAGAATTTTTATAGGACTTTTCAAATCATATAAATAATTGGTTGTATTTTATATATTTTATGGCAAAATGTGTACCATTATTTGCAAAATATAAACATACACTTTACTTACACTTTTTCCCCCATAGGAAGCTACTCTCTGTCTGTCAGAGACTATGACCCTGTGCATGGTGATGTTATCAAGCACTACAAAATTAGAAGTCTGGATAATGGAGGTTATTACATCTCTCCACGAATCACCTTTCCCTGCATCAGTGACATGATTAAGCATTATCAAAGTAAGTAAAACCTGGGGCTGGGGATGTGGCTCAAGCGGTAGCGTGCTTGCCTGGCATGTGTGCGGCCCGGGTTCGATCCTCAGCACCACATACAAAACAAAGATGTTGTATCTGCCGATAACTAAAAAATAAATATTAAAATTCTCTCTCTCTCTCTCCTCTCTCTCTCTTTAAAAAAAAAAAAAGTAAGTAAAACCTGTAGGTGGAACAAAACAGAACATGTTCATTATGATAACTATAAGGTATCAAATACTATTTTTGTACTAAAGCATTTTATTTATCTTTTTTTAAAGATACCAACCAAGATACCAGATCATATTTTATAATGGATTCTAAATTAAACTATAATTAAATATATAGACACTCCCTTATTTATGATGAAGTTATGTCCCAATAAACCTATTATAAGTTAAAATTGGTATACATTGAAAAATGCCTTTAAATACCTAATCTACCAAATTTCATGGCTATGCTTAGTCTCTTTTAAATATGCTCAGAACACTTTCATTATTCTGCAATTGAGCAAAATCTTCTCAAACAAAGCCAGTTTTATAATAGAGTGCCTGGAAAGCTCATGTAAAATTTTTAGCACTGTATAAAAGTGAAAAACAGAATAGTGCATGGGTGAGCTTTCACATCATCACAAAATAGAAAAATCCCAGGTTGAATTGTTATGCACTGAAGACTATCTGTACAAAGTAAGACTTGATCTTGGTGAATGATCATTCCTGCCTAGTCCATGCTACTTAATATTCAAATTCTGAAATTGCTTAGAGAAAAATATATATTATTTTTGTATCTTGTCAATTTTACAGTGTGTCCAAATAGGTGAAATAGAAATGCAGATCTGTATTTTTGTGTGTGTAAAAGTAATGTATACTCTTGGTAGAAGAAAACAAAACTAATACCACAGACATCTTTAAAAGTAGCAGGTCGGTATTCTTTGTCTCTAGTGTCACTTTCCAGCCTGTGAAGCCTGTGCTTATGACCTTTAGGTCCTTTGCCTATGTGACTGATATCAGGTGCAGTGGTTGTCACTACTGCTTCTTTCCACCACCTGCTCTAAGAGAATGCACATGGAAGGTTTGCTCAGGTCCCAAAAGATGAGACAACAAGGGACCTCAGATTTTGTGGAGTCCTTCCTCCCTGTTATTCCCATTCATTTAGGGCTTCTAGCTAAGTGCTGAGGGCTTACAGTGCTCTGGCCCAGTTCTGGGATTGGGGGAGGTGACATGACAACATCCATACCTTTTTATCATGTGCAGCTTATGTGGCCTCAGGAGTCTGAACACTTTCTATTAAGTATGACAACCTGTCAGCCTTTGTTTACTATATTGTCTGTTTACTATATTGCTTTTGTTTTTGTATTTTAGGAGTGAATGTGCAAAAGATACCTCTTTCGGCATTTTAGGTTTATAGGCTATGGCAAGTTAGATATTGTAAGATAACAGTTCAAGATTTTCTTTATTAACATTAGCAAAGTACAAAGTATGTACTATTGGTTCTTCATCTTTGGTGGGGTGCTGCTAGGGATTGAACTCAGGGGTATTTGACCACTGAGCCACATCTTCAGCCCTATTTTGTATTTTTTTATTTAGAGACAGGGTCTCACTGAGTTGCTTAGCAGCCTCACCATTGCTGAGGCTGGCTGTGAACTCGTGATCCTCCTGCCTCGTTCTTCTGAGCCACTGGGGTTACAGGTGTGCGCCACCACACCCGGCCTACCTATTGGCCCGTCACACCCACAAGTCCTACATCCAATAATCCAATCATCTGAGGATCAAAATATTTTTAAAAAAATTTGTATCTGTACTGCATTCATTCTAACTTAATCTTGTCATCATCTGCATAACAATACAGTATAACCATTATTTGCATAGCATTTACATTGTGTTATGTATTGCAAGTAACCTAGAGGCGACTGAAAGTATGTGGGAGGATGTGTATAGGTTATGTGCAAATACTATGTCATTTTATGTAAAGGACTTGAGCATTTATGGGTTTGGGTATCCACAGGGGTTCCAGGAACCAACCTCTCATGTATTGCATTTCTTAATCTTTGTTTTCATTTCAAATTAGAGCAATCAGATGGTTTATGCAGAAGATTGGAGAAGGCTTGTATTAGTCCCAAACCACAGAAGCCATGGGATAAAGATGCCTGGGAAATCCCTCGAGAGTCCATTAAGTTGGTGAAAAGGCTCGGTGCTGGACAGTTTGGGGAAGTCTGGATGGGTAAGTATGGCTCTCTGGGGGTGACATCCTCTCTACAGGGGATGAGAAAGAAGGGCTGAAGCCAGTTTCTTTCAGCCTCTGAGCCAGACACTAGATTGTGTCAGAAGCATCATTTCTTTTACTTTCCTCTGTCCACTGGGGGCTGAGAATTGCCTTGTGGCATCTATTGGCTTCAATTCTTGCTCTTCCTTCTGATTCAGTATTTTCTTCATGTTCATAAGGAAAGGAGTGGTGGGTGTTTACGTGAGTGTTTCGTTTGCTCTTTCATGATTCTCTCATTGGATTCTCTGGATGTACATTCGCATCCACTTAGGTTTAGAATCCACTGGCTTAATAGGAAATTTCACATTTTTTGCAGTTTGAGGGTCAACAAGAAAGTTTCCAGAGCAGAGCACAGTAGCACACACCTGTAATCCCACCTACTTGGGAGGCTGAGCCAGGAGGATCTCAAGTTCAAGGACAGCCTGGGCAACTTAGTGAGACCCTGTTTTAAGTTGGGCATGGTGGCATACGCCTGTAATTCCAGTGGTTCAGGAGGCTGAGACAGGAGGATCCTGAGTTCAAAGCCAGCCTGAACAATGGTGAGGCACTAAGCAACTCAGTGAGACCCTGTCTCTAAATAAATACAAAATAGGGCTGGGGATGTGCTCAGTAGTTGAGTGCCCCTGAGTTCAATCCCTAGTACCAAAAGAGAGAGAGAGAGAGAGAGAGAGAGAGAGAGAGACCCTGTTTTTATTTTGAGACAGGGTGAATAGCTATTTCCATGGTAGAGTACCCCTGGGTTCAATCCCCAGTACCACCAAAAAAAAAAAAAAAATTTTTTTTTTAAATGCTCAAAGTCCCATCATTTAAGAGTTCTTCTTTAACACTAAATATATCCTTCTCAGCCTGGCAAGAAGTGCATCAGTACCATTAATTAGAAAGTTAGTGGCTTTCTCCAGTGAATTCTTTTGACTCGTGTCTTTTTCTAAAGTTTTTATAATGAATATGAGTTTGTTTTGTAATAAGAATTAAGCAGGGTTGTTTTTTTCTTTTCTCTGGAGTCTGTACACATCTGACTGGATCACTTTCTCTGTGCCAGCTTTGTGTTAGTGAAAGCAAAAGTGATTTCCAAGCAGAAGGGGCAGCTGGCATTTAAAACTGCTCCAGCCCCAGGTGAGCAGGGACTGAGAACTTCCAGCCTACTGCAGCCCCGGGGTATGTCAATGCCGAGCAGAGACTGTGAGGGAGAGGTTTCCCCTCCAAAACCCCAGCCCCTGGGACCATGGCTTGGTATACTTTCTCCTGGAGCCAGAATGTCTTTTAAATATGGGAGTTGCTGACCCAGCCTGTAATTATTGCTTACTGCACTGTAAATCTGAGCTCACAAAATTGGTAGAATTCAGATGACTCATAATTGTATCACTTCACATTCTTCGTTTTGGTTGGTTTGTCTCAGAACTGGCTGGGAGTGTCCATTCCATGAGTGCTCTTGGTAGAGGTGGTCCCTTCCCGCATCACCATATCCTCCTCCTTACTTCTCTCTTTTTAAAAATTAACATGAAATTAACAGAACGTAAAATGAATCGTGTTAAAGTGAGCAATTCGGTGGCATTTAGAACATTCGCATACTGCGCAAGCTCCCGCTCTGTGTAGTTCCAAGATAGCTTCATCAACCCCAAAAGAAACATCATACTCATTAGGCAACAATTCTCTGTTCTCCCCTCAGCCCCTGGAAACCACCATTCTACGTTATATCTCTATCGATTTGCCTATTTGAGGTGCTTCATATCAGTGGAGTCATAGAGTGTTTGTCCTTTTGTGTCATTTAGGTTATTTCACTTAGCATAATGTTTTCAGGGTTCATCCAGTTACAGCATATATCAGAGTTTCATCCTTTCCTATGGCTGAGTAATATTCCACTGTATGGATATGCCACAGTGTTTTTATCCATTTATCTGTTTATCCACTGATGGACATTTTTGCTGCTATGAATGTCTATGTACGAGTTACTGTTTGGACACATATTTTCATGTCTCTTTGTTTTATACAAGGAGTGTAAATACTGGATCATACTGGATTTGTCTATGTTGAACTTTTTGAGGAACAGCAAAACTGTTGTCTGCTCATTTAAAAAAAATGATTTGCCATCTTCTTTTTACCCCTTGAAAGATTTTTATTTATTTATTTTTCCAAATACACAGAAATAGGGGCAGGAATAGTATAATGAACAAAATATACTGCTCACCTCGATTCACGAGTTGTTCATACATTGCTATATTTGCTTCATCGTGTGTGTGTGTGTGTGTGAGTGTGTGTGTGTGTGTCTGACACACATGTTGTTGAGCCACTTGAGACTAAGTTGCACACATGAGGACTCTGTACTCCTAAATTTCTTAAGCATGGGTTTCCTCAGATCAGGGCCATTATCTTATACAACACTGTGATCACATTCAGGAGATTTAACATTGATACATACTACTATCTAACATAGAGTTCATATTCATATTCAAATTTCTCCTATTGTTCCAATAATGCTGTTGTGACTGTTTTCACTAACCTCTTTTCCTCAGTGTATTTGCACTTAATTGACATGTCCTTAATCTCCTTTTTTGGTTTGTTTGTGTGGTTTTTTCCCCATTGTTGTTTTTGTTTTGGTACTGGGGCTTGAACCCAGGGGCGCTTTATCTTGTCATTGTGCTTTAGTTTGAAACAAGGTCTCTTTAAGTTGCTGAGTTTAATTTCCTTTAATCTGGAACAGCCCTGTGTCTTGTCTTCATCTTATGACACCCACATTTTGTAGAACACCAGCCAGTTGTTTTGTAGAAGGTCCCACAATTTGGATTTTTCTAGTGCCTCTCCTGGTGTGGCTCAGGTTGTTCCTTGGGGAATAGGATGCTGTGTTCTCTGTGATCATCAGGAGGCACAGAACACTGTTTGGTCCTGTTCTTGCTGATGTTCTATTTGGTTTTAAGGCAGTCCACCAGATTTCTCCATGGTGACTTGTAAGTCCCTTTTTAAATTAATAAATAATCCATGGGGAAAGTCTTCAAAACGGTGTAAAAGGAACTTTCCCCAAAGAGCTTTAGCATAGCATGCTCATTTTTAATTCTCTGCCCTTTTAGAAGCTGCAACATCACTCTAAAGCTGCATTCTCTCCTCCTTGCTTAGCTCTCTAAACATACCTGCTCTGACCTCAGCAGCTCACATTAGGAGCTTCCTCTCCCTGGCCTTTCTTTTCAAGGGTTACCTCTTTATTGAGAGTTCTGGCAGGAAAACACATTACCCAAACTGCCTTTAATCCAGGTCTCTGCATGCTCCCTCCTCTATGTTCTTAGTGCATTTTTCCATGTTTGACTCTAAGTCTGGGCTGTACAGTGTCCTCATGCTCTATTCCAGGTGCATTTTCATTGGTTTTCTGACTTAATGCAGTAGCACTATAAAAAAGACATTGTTAGCATCATAAAAAATGATTTAAAAAATATTTAAAAAGTCACCTCAGGTCACTCAAAGCAATGAGAAAGCCAGGCTGTTCTGGCATCTCACTGTTCTGGACTCATTCGTTTCCTAAGTTATCTACAGGTGAACTTGACTTCTCTCACCTTGGTTTCCATGTCAGTGAAATATGCAATCAATCATCTCATCAGCTGTTCAGAGGAGCCATGAGATATGTATCTGAAGTGTTTCCCAGAGTCTGGCTTTGGGTGCTCCGTTTTTATTATTTTCATTTTTGCATGCTTGACTCTAGTCACTGGAAGCTGTATTTTGATGGATTCTTTCCAGTCTCGGTCATGAAATCAAACTACAAATAAGGAAATTAGACCGTTCTGGGGATATTTGTCCATGAAGGAATTGCATGTCTACCATTAAGAGAAATGTAGAGGAATTTAACGGGGGTGTCTTCATTCTCCTGAAGGTAGTCGTCCTGCATGTAAAATGATGGTTTGGAATTTCATTCCACCTTTTCAGGTTTAGCTATGAAGCCAGGATAAAGGCAGAGAACTGCATGCAGAGGGATAAATCACCTGTACCTGAGAGATAAGTAACAGGAAGCCAAGTCCATGCAAGTCCAGTTGCTTGAGTGGATTGTGTGTGTATGAGTTGTATCTCAATTAATGCCATTTTTAAAAGTGCAGTTGCTATGTCAGAAATGCTATTGTCAGCTGCGTGGTCAGTGCAGCTTCCAGAGGGTACCTGGTGAGGGTCAGGGCAGACTTTATCTCGTGCTTCTCTGTACCAGTCAGGGTCAGAGAGTGTTAGAAAACTTAAGGGGCCTCAATAGTGAAACAGGAAATTGGCTTTTTCCAGGGGATTCTTTTGGCTCATCAATCTTTTTCTAAAGTTTTATGCCCTTCCTCCCCTGCCCCGCTGATCTGGGAAGTTATCAATTTGAGGGGAAGAGATTAAGATAATCCTCTTGTATTTTCTTAACATTTTTTTTGAGGGCTTCTAGCAAATAGAATGATAAACTCTCTACCAGCTCCATGGTGGTAGTGCCCAGATCTGACATTTACCTGCCCAACTTGCCCATTCCAAAGAAACCAAGGGTTGAACCAGCAGAAAACCAGAAGCAAGACTGGGGACAGGGGAGCAGCCTACACTGAAGTCAAATCATGTACAGCCCAGTTCTGTCTTCAGGACTCAAGCCTGTGCTAAAATTGTGCACCTGGACTTTGGCCACATGTGACTGAGAAAATTCTTTGTGTCCACAGCTCATTCCCCCTGTCCACTCCTCACCCTTTCCTGTTCATGGGCTTTCACTGTGCCATATGCTAAATGTTTGCCCTTTGATTTTAGAGAACTTTAATTTAGCATGCTCCCAGGTGCCTGGGAGAAACTGGGGTTTAGAAGAGAGGAGTGGCAGAGTGTTGGAAAACATGTAATTTTCCTACCCAGTGTGTAATTTTAAAATTATTTTTAATGGTACATTATTATGATACATAATGGTGGGATTCAGTATGCCATATTCATACATGCACATAACATGATTTGATCATTCTCATTCCCCAGTACCTTCCCTT